AAGTTGTCCAGAGGGCTCCCACATTTTTTAACTAGTTAGCGCTTAATTTTCTTGAACATCCAGCATGTCGTGGTGTTAAGTCATCGTCGTCAACGGATTCCATAGGCATATTCAATATGCCAAACGATGCAATTTCTCCTGCCGTGGTACTAGGACGGTTTGACAAGGCTCCTGCCCAACTTCTTGACATGCCGAGCAGTTTTGAAGTCAATCATGAAGATTCTCCAAGAAGGATAGTTGTCCGCAGTTCAAGTTGCTAGGGCTTAGCCTATCCTGTTAATGCTTGTCCTTCGGGAACGGGGAAACCTTGCGATTTCGACTGATCCTGAATTCCCTTCCTTGCTTGTCATTACCTTAGCTGGCGAGTAAAGGCTTGAATAGCTGCCAGGCATGCCACATCCAGATGCCTTTCGACTGCCAAGCAGGCGTGGCTTGTGTTGATTCAAGGTGAAAAGGGGCCAACTCCAGCCAGCTCTGTTTCACGCATGGGATTCATGCGGGCTGCGGAATGGGGTTTTGGCAGGCCAGGGGAACTGGCGACTGGGCTGGTCCAGCGACAAGAAGACGTTCTGCTGCAAGCAGTTTGGCGTTGGCTGTGATGGAGGCCATGCAGACGAAACGCATCATGTGGTCCACCATGTGGTTCACCACAATGTGGTTCCTGTGCCTTATCCCGTGCCTGCTCATGCCCCTCACCCTCATCCTCGCACTCACGTCCACGTGATTCCTGTGCCTCATCCAGTTCCGGCTCCAGCTTACCACGCTCCTCATCCCGAGACTCACGTCCACGTGATTCCTGTGCCTCATCCAGTTCCAGCTCACCATGTTCCTTCTCCAGCTTACTATGGTCCAGATTACCATGAGCATGCCACCGGCCTTGTGCTGCACGAAGACCATGGAGAGCGACCTTACAGATGCCACGAGAACGTGGAGCAGTGGACTACACTCTGGTCTGCGGCCAAGAAAGATTTCTGCTGCCAGCAGCACTCCGTCTTCTGCCTTGATTCTGGTAGCCACTTTCATGACAGCTCTTCGTATTTCGACGAATACCATCATCACCATCACGGCCACCACTTTGGTGGCTACTATGACGGTGGCTACTACAGTGGTGACTACCACGGGCAAAATGACTACCATATGCATGGCGGCGGCGGCGGTTTCTATGGTCATGGTTCCAATGGCTACTATGGTCATGGTTCCAATGCTGGCGGTGAGTCAGGCTCAGGAGCCACTTGGACATGGAACCAGAAGGCGGCGTGGTTCGTTGCGTTGTAAGTGTGGTACAGCTGGATGGCTGTGGGTCAAAACCAATGGTACCATTTTGGGGCAGGTGCCACCCATTTTAGAACCTATTTTAGTGGGGATTGAATCGGATGTTCACTGGGGGTACGATTTGGATTGTGACCCATGGCCAGATGACTGAAAGCTTCGATAAAGTGCTTACGTTCTAGATGACGCCTGTTTTATGACGCCTGTTTTATGGAGCTTGTGGGATGGAGCCGGCCCGCATTCCATACCTTAGGAAGGGGAAGGCTAGCATGGGCCAACCCTTGGCTTAGTGAACTGTCTGACTCCTAATACTCTTCCTGCACTTGGCGTGCTTGATGATGCGAGACGTATTACATATGGCACCACTTGTTGTTTTCTGTTTTTCCAGCTGGTTCTTTCTTCTTTCTTCTGTCTTTCTTTCTTGCTTTCTTTCGTTCATTCATTCATTCATTCATTCATTCATTTCTTTCATTCATTTCTTTCATTCATTCATTCATTCATTCATTCATTCATTCATTCATTCATTCATTCATTCATTCATTCATTCATTCATTCATTCATTCATTCATTCATTCATTCATTCATTCATTCATTCATTCATTCATTCATTCATTCATTCATTCATTCATTCATTCATTCATTCATTCATTCATTCATTCATTCATTCATTCATTCATTCATTCATTCATTCATTCATTCATTCATTCATTCATTCATTCATTCATTCATTCATTCATTCATTCATTCATTCATTCATTCATGATTTCCTTCATGCATTCATTATTGCCTTCTTTCTCTCTATCAATCAATCAATCTATCCATCGTTGTTGCTTTCTTTCTTTCTTGTTTTCTTCCTATTTTTTTTCTTTACTGTTTTGTTTGTTTCTTTCTTTCTTTCTTTCTTTCTTTCTTTGTTTCTTTGTGTCTTTGTGTCTTTTACCTGTCCTTTGGCTCTTTGGCTTTCTCTGTTGGCTTCGCGACTGCGCGGCCAGAGATGTCTTTGCCGCTGATCTTCTTGACTGTTGGCTTTTGCGGCTGCTCTTGGCTTTGCCTTCAAGATATTCAAACTGCTCAAGACCACAGTTGAGTCACAATCAAAACCCGGGCAGATGAAGGTTAGTAAGGGACGATCCCCTTGCCATAAATAGCTGCGGTCGCCTTCTCAATTCTTGGTTCTGGGTCAACCATTTTAATACCGGGTTTTGATTGTGACTCAGTTCACCCCTCCGCCCCGAGTCTAAGCCCAAACCCACACAATCCCAGCACACAATGCCAAACCAACCCCCACTTGAATCACACGCCAAAACCAACCACAAAGCTATTCTCCGCCCACCCTGAATCGAGCCAAATCCTAAGCCCAGCCTAAATGACATCCGCAGCCCCAGCCAATGTTACACTGCTTGACCACCCCAAATCCACCCCGAATCCATTTTGGTCTACCCCGAAACCCGGCGAGCTTTCAATCTTCATCACTACTTCAAACCCTAAGTAGAAGCTGATCACACCACCGTGTTCAACCCTAAAGCAACCAGACCCTGGATCAAGTACTAACACCAACCCCAGGCCAACGCAGATCCCACCATTGACCCGCGCAGAATCAAACTTTTGGCACTGAGGCAAGCATTTCTCAGTGCGCCGAAACAGAGTCTCAGCAATGCCGGTAGCCCCAGTGCTCTTTGCTGGCTTGAGTGCCGTTTGTTGCATCGTTCGGACACCGAGCAATGACTCGGATGTTCAATGGCATTCCACATTTCGAGCAAGGGCTTGTACTCCCCGATGTAGTTCTGGGTGTAGTCCCCGAGGCCCTGCGAGCTGGAAGCAGGGCGCCGGTGGCTTCCATTGCCGCTCGACTCAAATCAGCCGAAGGGAGACTCGAGCAGCTTGGGGAACTTGCGATAGGTAAGGGAGGGAACGAACCTAGGGATTCCCTTAAAGGAAACCCATGTTGGGAGAGATAGGGTCATTACCAAGGAAGGTGGGACCAGGCTTGTTCTCTCTCAAGTTTTGAGCAATTCGCTTCGGTCAAGTTTCGGGAGCGCGAGGCCTGCACCAGCTGTCGCAGCAGACCTCACGGACGGCTTACCTCAAGTCGGGGGGCGCCTGCCGCCCCGCCTCCCAGGGGCCCTTTCCCTACAGCGACTGCCAGGCGCTCTGAAGTTGCCACGAAAGCAACGCAGGGAGTCTCTCAATTGCATACATGGCAGTGGTTGTCAAAACCAATCGGATCCCATTTTGGGGTGGGTGCACCACCCATTTTAGTCGGGATTTTAGCGGGGATTGGGATGTTCACTGGGGGTACGGGCTTTTGACCCATGACACAAATGGGCGCCTGTATTAAAAAAAAAGGCGCACACCTTGAAGAAGCCATGTCGTCTCCGGTCAGTCCAAACCCAAGCCTTGAAAAGCTTTCGACCAACGTGGTATGTTCAAACAAGACACAGACACTTGCAGGCTGCACACTTAGGCAACCCAGCAAGCAAGCGTGGTACGTTTTAGCGGATGCAGCACCAATTCCCAAGCTGTGTCCTGCGCCAGCACCAGTGCCGCATCAGCACTGACATCCCCATGCTGCGCGGAGCCTTGGCGGCCTTCAGTGAAGCGCAGAATGGACTTCTGCGTTGCAGGATTTTGAGAGGATTGTACGCTGTATGAGAGTGGGGGTTTTGTGTTTGATGCGGACTTGCTGGACGGGATAGTTGTGGTTTGCATGCTTGAGCATGTTTTTGGTTTTATTTGGCGTCAAGCGCAAGTTTGGCAAACTTTGGGTGCTTGCCCAATCGATCAAGGTGCGTGAAGGCCGCAGCAGATGCGCCTTTCTAGCACTGGGTTTGTCGGTTGGGAGCAGATGGAAGAGCTCTTTACTCTTGGGATGACAGAAAGGCTGTTCTCCTCGTCTAAGGTTCCAGATGATGTGGATGTCTTGAGAATGAGTACGGCCTGCCGATTTTTTTGCACCTGGAAAGCCAAGGGTAGCATGGCACGGAGATCTGTCCGGACTCTACGGGGGCAAAGCCTTTCCCCTCAAGTCTGGCGTTTCACCCCGTGTGGCGTTTCACCGAGCTGGATCCCGGCATGGTCCCAGGCCTGTGAGGCTCCAACAAAACAGTCTCTTGTAGTTAAACCTGGGCAGGACATTACCTTTGGTGGATCACCAAGGTCACCTCTCAGGTCATACCCTGGAACTCATCATGCTTTGTGCTTGAAATGAGGGACACTTGCATAAGATCCGCAACATGTCAATCCCAAAGGGTTGCGGCAAGGGCTTTGCGTCATCGGCAACTCCCGAAGATTCGTTTTGCGGAGCTCAGACTTCAGGGAAATGCGTGGTAGAAACTTGCTGGATCTGGACCTGGATGCAAAGATAGCACGTCAGCTATGCTGAATGCTGATTTACACTGTTTCAAGGCGATGCTGGGTTGCTCTCATCCTTAGTCTCCCCAAAGCTAAATCATCAACAGGAGAAGCCACGACAGGGAATCGTCTGTGAACTTGCTGGCATGCAGAAGATCCGTCACCGCACCTCGCACCTGATGTATCACCCTCTGAGGCTGTGGCAGAAACTCCGAGCGAATCGCAGGAAAAACGTCACAGTCAATGCTTGGCATACTTAACTCCATAACATCTTGAAGGGCTTTCCAAAAGAGACACTCTTGAATGTCATTTTACCCCGTCCTTGTTCTCCCCGCTTGCGAGGTATCAGGCATGTACACTTGCGTGCTGCCTAAGCCCAGGTTGTCACCTATGCCAGCGCTATTGCTGCATGCGTTCATTCCTGGGAGGCCAGCAATGGGGGAAGGACCGCTATCAGCTAATACACTATGGCATTGATAGGGTCACGGGGGAGGTCTGCCAACCGTGGACAAGGTGTGGCTGGGGATTTGCATTCAATCCTTCCCAAGTGTCGGGCTGTGTTTGACAAGCAAATATCTTCAGCAGTGAGGCATTTTAGCGGACTGTTCAGAAGCTTTTCAGTGGAGTGGGTGAGGCTTCTGCTGGGTGAGCAGTCAGCTAATTCGAGATGGGACGGGGTCGCTTTTGCACCGCAAAAGTGATGTGAGTGCAAATATTGTCTTATCACGATACATGCATACTCACATTTGTAGTCAAGCACAAACTTCGCATGCCTAAAGTGCAACATCTAAGATGCATCAGCTGGGGCAGTGGCCGTTGCTTTGTACCGTCGGGCCCTAGCCGTAGTTCAGGGCCTCGTACGCACAAGGATGACATATTACCAAATCCCCATGTTTGTAAACCCACGCTTGCGAGCAAGCCGGGCATCATTTTTCTTGGCTTTCCCCAACACATGCTTGGTCATAGGCACGGAATGCTATGCGCAAAGGAAGGATAAGTCTCCTTTCACCCATTCTGAATCTGGTGATTTTGATATGGGACACCATCTCGTGCAAAGCTCCAGCGGCGCTTTTTGTGTGAAGCATCACCTTTGCAGTTCATCACCAACTGAAAGCGAATCAATCCAAGCGCTTGACGAGGCACTTTCAGAGATACCACACGCGTTGCGCAGGCGGCGTTGCATCTGCTGCAGGAGCTGAACTCGCGCCGGCTCCCCACTTGACATGATCGCCATACTTTTTTTTCCCCGTTCGTGGGCCCTGCATTCGCTTGTAGCTCTTGAAGTCATCCATGTTTCCAAACTTTCAAAGAGGCATGCCACAGCCAAGCATAGGAACACACACACACACAGAGGTACTTGTCAAGGTGAGATTGGTTTCCAACGGGCCTGCTTCCAGCCTGTGAGAAGCTGCTTGAGAGTGTGTCAAGCAAGAGCCTTTTCAACTTCTCCAGTGTTGGACTGGGCAGACAAAATGCGGGCACTGACAGAAACATGAAGGCTGCGGGGCCAATGCCATCGCCTACACATCCGCGATCAAGGCATTCGGACCGGATGTGATCCTTGTGGCATGTTTCTCATAGGCAGCTTGCGCTGGTTTCTTCCTTGCCCAAAAAGAAAGCAACGCCATGAGCAGTGATCCTTTGGGCATCAGAGAACTGCAGCTTGTGCTGGTTTCTTCGCCGGAAGCGACGAGTGCTTGGCAGTCGCTGGCCTTTCTGGGAGTGCGGTCAGGCAGTTGAGCGGGGCCGGTGCTGGCCCTGGGCTCTGGCACTGCTGGCGGAGATGCCAGGCGTGGGACTAAGAGACGGGCGTTTGGTCATAGAGCCGAGGCTTTGCAGGTTGAATGATTGGGGCTCGTCGTTTGAAGACATCTAGCGATCCTTGGTCTTGCAACCATCTTTTTGTTTGCTCAGGTTGGATGGCAGACTTGCATTCAGTTCAGATTCCTTGATCTACCATGAAATGCGCACCCAGTTCGACAAGTGAGTGTTTTTTGGCAAACGCGTTTCACGCCACTCGTTTGTGAGGACGAGCTATTCAAGCCGACACCATTGCTGCCAGGCAGCATTTTACAGAAGGGCTGTGCACGCGACGATGCGAGAATTTCCAAGCCATCATCTTCTTCTGCGCCTTCTAAAGCAAAACAGGTGTGTAGAGTCAGGTTTTGCCTTTGAAGCAACAATGCTTCACTCGATGATTGATTCTACCAGCGAATGCAGTCATGGCCTCACACATCTTGCGTGGCCTGAGCCTCGAAGGTTCTGAACGCCTGCATCACAGCCTGCCAGAAGGCGGAGGCATGGGCTCAGGCGCGGCTGATCGCGTGTCGCGCGGGCGGCTGAGAGCCTTAAGTTGTCACTTCCGGGAGGCCATCGATCTCTTCAATCACATCAAGTCGTTTGGCGTCCAGCCAGATGACTCTTGGCAGTTCGTGGCTATGGCCCTAATCAATATTCAGAAAATAATGAAGCGCATCTTTCAGGGATTCTGGCCGTCTGAGATGGCAGTTTGTCTGCGATTCACGAGGCTTCTTGCAGTGGTAGGAATTCGAATCCAACAATTTTGGCTGACAGGACGTTTCCTAGAGAAATTGTTTTTGCATGCTCTGGGTTGTACATGAGCGAGTAATCGACTGCATGTTGGTTAGGCAAAGGTGTGCGCTGAAAGGGCAGTCCCCAGAGGCCCAAATCCATCCACGACGCCCAAAACTGAGATTCCTTTCAGACAGACACAGCTCAATGCCAAGGGCAGGACACGTGGCAGACAGTTGAGGGGCTCCAGTCAGGGTGCTTCATGCAGGGTTGCTCCTTGAATTTCTGTGATGTCCGGGTTTTTCCACCGCCGCCGGCGATGTGTTTACTTGAGGGTGCCCTGGACGGGTTGCCTTAGAGAAGCCAAAGGAAAGCCGCCATTTCTTTGGGTCCCCCCCGGCCACATCTCAAGCTGAGGTGATCAGCTTCAATGCCGTCTTGGCGGCCGTGGCGCGGCAGGGCGCGTGGCCTGCGGCTCTGGAAGCACTCCGTCAGCTCAGGCGAGGGCCGGTGCTTTCGCCGCTACAATGGAGTCGAAGTTGCGCGCTTGTCTATTCTCTGATCTGCCTCGAAGTGAGAAGTCATGTGAGCTTTCAAGAGGTAAAGCAACAATCGCCGCAGATGATAGGGGCAGACGCAGACGAGCAATGCGGCGCGATCATGTGCGAAAGGAAAGGGCCACAACGGATGGATGGATGGAGCGACCTGCAGGGCTCTGCGGCCAACGGAATCCGTCCTCCGATACGGCCGCCCTCAGGTGGGAGTTCAAGGCCCCGGACTGGCCACCCCACATAGGCAGTCGTGAGCTCCCCAAAGCCCCTACAGGTGTGCAAGGCAGCTGTGGGACCTTGAGAGCAACAAGCGTGAGGTGCCAGTAGTCCCTCCAGGCTACCGAATCCAGGGCCCAGGATGGGTGTCCAAGAGCCGGTGTAAGCTGCGAGGACATGCAATGCTTTGCTGGCGGGCTGAGGCAGCTGAAAAGGGCCCTAACGGAAGGACAGACAAAGGCAAGGCGAAAAGCAGTCCCCGTCACGAAAGCTAGCCTGCTAGCTGGAGTCTCTCGCTTTTGCAAGTGACGGGGCCAGTGAGTCCCACAACCCCGTGATATCTCAATCTTCGCCCGCTGGCGGCGGCCCAAGAAGTTCCACCGCAAGGCTCGCCCACTCTTTGCTTCTCCTTGCTTTCTTCTGCCTGCTCTTCTTTCCGCATTGCGCTGCGCTCCCTGCTCTTCTTCCTCTTCTCTCTGCTCTTCGCCCCATCGGCTCTGCTCTCCTCTCTCTGATGCTCAGTCGTTGCTCCGTTCTTTGCTTTGCTCTTCTCTCCGCTCTTGCGCCCGCCCTTTGCTGCGCCCTTCTCTTCGCAGTCTTTGCGCTGCTCTTCTTCCCAATTCTTCACTCCGCTCTGTGATCTTTCTCTCGTCGCCCTTGCGCGCATTCGTTCGCCTCCTCTCCCTTGCCTTAAGCATGACTTTGCGGATGACAACAGAAGAGACTTCGGCAAGCATTTCTCAAACTGCTGCAAACCCGAGTCCACCAGCAAGGAACGTGTTTCTTCAGTGACCTTTCGCAATTGAATCAAATACTTACCGGCTTTTCAATGCCGTCAGTGTCTCTAGCAGCACCAATGTGAGCTGTTGATTTGTTGCCATTTGCATTTTGGTGCCTCTTCGCGGAAACACGAGGCTTCACCTGGCATGTGCGATTGGCCAGAGATCTTTGGGCACGGCACCTGCAGGTCTGATAGTCTTCAGCCCAGCACTGTCACCTGGAACTCTTGCATCTCTGCCTGTGAGAAGGCCAGGCCATGGATCTCACTTCAATGTGTCGGATTTGAGTCGATGGGGTTCCATGACTTGCCTGGTATCAACTGCAAGGTGCTCAATTGGCAGCGATCCTTGTGGCTGCTGCAGGCCGGGGTTTCGCCTTTCCGAGCCGTGCCGGTGCATCTCGCAAGCTGTGCCATTGATGTCTTGACGCCGGTGGGAAGCTTCTCAACAGCCTGCCCAGGAGCTCAGGGATCAGGCGTGGTCCCTCTGCTTTGGCTTCTATGCCTTTCGCGTTGGTGGCTGTGGATGAGCATTGAGATTCTGGATATTTTATGGTGCTGGAATCAAACTCGCGACACAATCGCAACAGGTTCGAATTCATGAAGCTGGCCCAGAAATGATTGCAGAAGAGTGCGTTGCATCTGCCTTGATGAACGGCTAGGCTTTTGTTCCGGCGCGGCCAGGGCCAACCCAGCGTCATCTCCTTCAACACGGCGCTGGCTGCTTGTCGGAGCTCCTGGCAGGCTGCCTTCTGGCTGCTGCAGGCTGCGCCGCCTGCGGAATGAGCAGATGGCTGTGGGTCAAAACCAATGGTAGCATTTTGGGATAGGCGCACCACCCATTTTAGAGCCTGTTGTAGTGGGGATTGGGATGTTCACTGGGGGTACGATTTGGGTTTGACCCACAGCCTGGCCTATGCGCTCTTGTTTCCTGTGAGACTCACTCGGATGAGCATCAATTTGGCGAAACCATTAAACATATTTGAGCCTCTGAAAGTTCGTGGATTCCAAAAACATGCCTCAAGCCTCCCACATGGAGACGTTGCACAAAGACGTGAGCTGGTTTCTTCTTGTTTTGCCAGGAGATGCCCAAGTGCGCTTTGCAGCCGGATTTAGGACCTCCGGGGAGATTGGGCACCGGCATGCTTTGGTGAACGGTTAAGTATCACACGAGCCACGAGCATGGAAGGGGGACCCTGTGCGCTCTCGCGGTTTCACACAGAAAGCCGTTTTGGCCTTTTGGGGCGCAACATCGAACGTATCGCTGAATGGAGCGGTTTCTTTGCGAGCTGGTGGAAACGATGGGCTTGTTTTGGGCAGTCAGCATCGCAAATCCTACTGGTCAAGACAAGAATCACACAAATCCAAAGATGCACAACGTTGCGATTGGACGGGCTACATTTCGACTCGAAGAGAATGCTCGAAGCGTCCCTATGTGCCTTGCTTGCAGGAAGTTTCCATGCAGTGCACGAAGCCAAGCAGTCAATGAGGATGTGTGGACTTTCTTGACGCTCTGCCATGGCCAGTTGAAGACCTGCTCAGCTGAAAATGCAACAAGGGGGACCCTGGCTTTTGAGCTGCCTTTCACAGCAGCTCAGGTATTGGCTGTGTTGGCTGGGTGTTTGGCATTTCATGGTGTTGTTCTAGTGGAGTCATTCAAGAAAGCTCACCGAGGCTCACGGCTTGCACCTCGGGCGGCGTTTGGCAAGCAGCGTTGCAGCTTTTGCAGAGGGTCCAGGCGCCCGTGGCTTTCTGTGGATGTCTTGGTCGCTTGCGGAGGCTCCCATTTTCTTCGGCGCAGGTCTCAAGTCTCCAGCAAGGTAGCGACCCAAATCCCAAAGTGTGCAGAGATCGCAAGGAGATTCCCAAGTAAAGTCCCAACTGTGTGCAACTTCTCGTGCCGTCAGGCAACCTCTTCTCCCGAACTGACGTCTTGCAACGAGAGCCGTGCCGGCTTTGGACCGCCAGGCTCTTGACTTGTCACCTGACAAGGAGCTGCTGGAGCGGGTGCCATGGCTGCGGGTCGAAGCTCTTGATCCGCTTTTGGGTTTCGCCCACAGCGGAAAAGAACCGAAGAGCTCAAGGGCCGAACCCACACGTGGGCGATCGCGTTTGTCTGTGAATTCAGGTTTTTGCTGCTACCTTTCAGTGTTCACGGCCATATTTGTTGCTTGCTCCATGATTGAAAACAACCGGTTTTGCCAGTTCACTTTACTTCCATGGATCTGGATTTCTGTCTTTTTTGCAAGTGTGTTTCGGACATGCAACAACGCCAAGCTGCCCAGGGCTTTGCTTGTTACTTTTCATGGGCCCATAACTCTTGATTGATGCCTTGGCTCGACTATGGAGGAAAGCCTGTTTTTTTTTTTTTTTTTTTTTGGGGGGGGGGTACCATATCTATGACTCTGTATATATCTACACAACGCACTACAGCCACCCTATTCCGAGCTGCAAGGGCAAGTACCGCGCGGCAATTTCGTGTTTCGTGGGCGTTTACACTTTGTAGTCCCCGAAGAGTGTCCACTTGTCCGGGACCACCCGAAGCCGGAAGGTGTTTCGCAGCCAGCTTGGCGGGCCTGCCAAACAAATACCCCAAACCACATGGAAAAGCACGCAAGACATGAGCCACGTTCACAATGTCGGCGGCCCTATGCTTATCTCTTCCCCAAGACTAAAGGCTGTATGGTGTCTCGCCGGAGTGTTCCAAGGTGGCACGTTCCAGAAATTCTATGGATCAGTTGCTGGATAGGGTTGCTGAAGGTTCTGGGGTTCCATTGGATGGGGTCCAGAGGCTCCCGAAGGGTGTTAGAAGGTCCAAGGTCTACGGGGGGTTGCCGCACGGGGTTCTGGAGGGTTCGAAGCAGTTGCTTTCTTGGGTTCCTGGTGGCATGGGGTTCCGATGGTTTCGGGGGGTTCCAGGGGTTCCGGGTGTGGAGCGGTTGGATGGGGTTCCGATGAGCGGCGCTGGAGAGGCCTCAGGGTTCCGCTGTTGGAAAAAAATCTTGGGCTAGGCTGTTGGGCGCATCGGAACTTGTTGGGCTCGTCAATTGACCATCGTGAGGCGATCGCTCCCATCTTGAATGCCGACAGGCTGGAGGAGGCAAGATATTTTTTGCCTGAGCTGAGTGCAAGAGCCGTGTCTTTCAGGCCCTAGTGGTGTATCGAGAAGGCCTTGCGCGGGGTTTGCCGGAAGGCTTAGAGATCCTGGGACTTTCCGGAAGGATTTCAAAACGACATGGCAGCCGACAGGATCTACAACTCCGTGTGACGAGAGTTCATGACATATTTCTTGCGATGCCATGCCTGCATCACCAGCCACTCCATCCTGCAAAGAGGGCCTTGCCATGAGCGCCGCTGGCCGCCATCCAACCTGCTATCGCGCCAAGGCTGCAGGCCAGGCGCGGGCCTGCCATGCTTGTGCGAAGCCCCAGTGGCCCAGGCAGATTTCAGCTTCAGGTCTGCGCGTCTCATTGGCTATCCTTGGTGCTCAGAACAATGTCGACCAAAAAGCAGTGGCTACATGGGCCTGACATGGGGACGACTCGACATGATCCAATCGCAGGTCTCAAAGCTTGCAGCCAGCCAGTCTTCACTACCCTGTCTCAGGTTGCTTTTGCCAGGCAGTTCGGATTTGCACCCAGTTTACCCCCGAGTTGCCTTGTAAAGCTCATGGGACAACCTGTAACGCGAGTGAACGGGTCCCCTCGATCGGTTCTGAGGACCTCCACGACTTCTCGCTGGAAGCTGCCCAGGTGGCAATCTGCGAGGAGCTGCTGCAGCTGCAACAAGGCGGGCGTGCGCGTAGGCGGGCGCGTGTGTGTGTGTGTGTGTCTGTATGTATGTATGTATGTATGTATGTATGTATGTATGTATGTATGTATGTATGTATGTATGTATGTATGTATGTATGTATGTATGTATGTATGTATGTATGTATGTATGTATGTATGTATGTATGTATGTATGTATGTATGTAATGTATGTATGTATGTATGTATGTATGTATGTATGTATGTATGTATGTATGTATGTATGTATGTATGTATGTATGTATGTATGTATGTATGTATGTAATGTAATGTATGTATGTATGTATGTATGTATGTATGTATGTAATGTAATGTAATGTAATGTAATGTAATGTAATGTAATGTAATGTAATGTAATGTAATGTAATGTAATGTAATGTAATGTAATGTAATGTAATGTAATGTAATGTAATGTAATGTAAATGTAATGTAATGTAATGTAATGTAATGTAATGTAATGTATGTATGTAATGTATGTATGTATGTATGTATGTATGTATGTATGTATGTATGTATGTATGTATGTATGTATGTATGTATGTAATGTGTAATGTATGTATGTATGTATGTATGTATGTATGTATGTATGTATGTATGTATGTATGTATGTATGTATGTATGTATGTATGTATGTATGTATGTAATGTATGTATGTATGTATGTAATGTAATGTAATGTAATGTAATGTAATGTAATGTAATGTAATGTAATGTAATGTAATGTAATGTAATGTAATGTAATGTAATGTAATGTAATGTAATGTAATGTAATGTAATGTAATGTATGTATGTAATGTATGTAATGTAATGTAATGTAATGTAATGTAATGTAATGTAATGTAATGTAATGTAATGTAATGTAATGTAATGTAATGTAATGTAATGTAATGTATGTATGTATGTATGTAATGTAATGTAATGTAATGTAATGTAATGTAATGTAATGTAATGTAATGTAATGTAATGTAATGTAATGTAATGTAATGTAATGTAATGTAATGTAATGTAATGTAATGTAATGTAATGTAATGTAATGTAATGTAATGTAATGTAATGTAATGTAATGTAATGTAATGTAATGTAATGTAATGTAATGTAATGTAATGTATGTATGTATGTATGTATGTATGTATGTAATGTATGTATGTATGTATGTATGTATGTATGTATGTATGTATGTATGTATGTATGTATGTATGTATGTATGTATGTATGTATGTATGTATGTATGTATGTATGTATGTATGTAATGTATGTATGTATGTATGTATGTATGTATGTATGTATGTATGTATGTATGTATGTATGTATGTATGTATGTATGTATGTATGTATGTATGTAATGTATGTATGTATGTATGTATGTATGTATGTATGTATGTATGTATGTATGTATGTATGTATGTATGTATGTATGTATGTATGTATGTATGTATGTATGTATGTATGTATGTATGTATGTATGTATGTATGTATGTATGTATGTATGTATGTATGTATGTATGTATGTATGTATGTATGTATGTATGTATGTATGTATGTATGTATGTATGTATGTATGTATGTATGTATGTATGTATGTATGTATGTATGTATGTATGTATGTATGTATGTATGTATGTATGTATGTATGTATGTATGTATGTATGTATGTATGTATGTATGTATGTATGTATGTATGTATGTATGTATGTATGTATGTATGTATGTATGTATGTATGTATGTATGTATGTATGTATGTATGTATGTATGTATGTATGTATGTATGTATGTATGTATGTATGTATGTATGTATGTATGTATGTAATATGTATGTATGTATGTATGTATGTATGTATGTATGTATGTATGTATGTATGTATGTATGTATGTATGTATGTATGTATGTATGTATGTATGTAAATGTAATGTATGTATGTATGTAATGTATGTATGTATGTATGTATGTATGTATGTATGTATGTATGTATGTATGTATGTATGTATGTATGTATGTATGTATGTATGTATGTAATGTATGTAATGTAATGTATGTAATGTATGTATGTAATGTAATGTATGTGTAATGTAATGTAATGTAATGTAATGTAATGTAATGTAATGTAATGTAATGTAATGTAATGTAATGTAATGTAATGTAATGTAATGTAATGTAATGTAATGTAATGTAATGTATGTAATGTAATGTATGTAATGTATGTATGTATGTATGTATGTATGTATGTATGTATGTATGTAATGTATGTATGTATGTATGTAATGTATGTAATGTAATGTAATGTATGTAATGTATGTAATGTATGTAATGTATGTATGTATGTATGTATGTATGTATGTATGTAATTATGTATGTATGTATGTATGTATGTATGTATGTATGTATGTATGTATGTATGTATGTATGTATGTATGTATGTATGTATGTATGTATGTATGTATGTATGTATGTATGTATGTATGTATGTATGTATGTATGTATGTATGTATGTATGTATGTATGTATGTATGTATGTATGTATGTATGTATGTATATGTAATGTATGTATGTATGTATGTATGTATGTATGTATGTATGTATGTATGTATGTATGTATGTATGTAATGTATGTAATGTATGTATGTATGTATGTATGTATGTATGGTATGTATGTATGTATGTATGTATGTATGTATGTATGTAATGTATGTAATGTATGTAATGTATGTATGTATGTAATGTATGTAATGTATGTAATGTATGTAATGTATGTATGTATGTATGTATGTATTTATGTATGTATGTATGTAATGTAATGTAATGTAATGTAATGTAATGTAATGTAATGTAATGTAATAAAATGTAATGTAATGTAATGTAATGTAATGTAATGTAGGGTAATGTAATGTAATGTAATGTGATGTAATGTAATGTAATGTAATGTAATGTAATGCAATTTATGTATGTATCTATGTATGTATGTGTGTATGTGTGTGTGCGCATGCGTTTGTGTCTGTGTCAGTGTCAGTGTCAGTGTTCGTGTGTGCGTTGTTGCGGCTTGCCATGTTGATTCCAGTCGTCAGTTGAGCAGCAACGCAGTCCGCAACCATGCACTGTTCACTTTCTTTGACGGCATTGCGGTGTTTGGGATTTTGTATGGTGATTGATGGGTGCCGTTGCGCAAGTTATGCTGGTGAATTGACTTGCCATATTCGGGAATCTGTTCGCAGAGAGGCTCCTGATTGCTTCGCGAAGCAATCACTGGAGAACATGAATGCCATTCAAGCCCATGTGAGTGAATACGGAAATGGGACTCGGAGGGTCCCGGCCCGTTTTGATGTTGATACATCTTAGGCCTACGTTTTCTTTTGGTTGAGTCTCATGAACTTGCCTGTCTTTCTCAACAGACGATTGACAGAGCTCGGAATCTGCAGAAGTTCCAATGGAGAGTTCGGCAGACCGGTCAAGAGAAGGGTTGAGTCGACCAAGCGATTGGAATTGCGGGCTTTTGGCCGGGTGCCAGGAGATCTTGTGATCATCACGGGCCGTGGCTCCCACAGCAGAGAAGGCTCGCAGATGCGTTCCTTGGCCATGTTTTGGCCAAGAGGGGGCCACGAATGAACTTAATTCCTGTCATCCCCTGCATTGAAACAGTGAGAACAGATCCAACTGCTTCACTCAGGCGGGCTGCCAATGCAGCCACCGCTGTGGGAATGGCTTGTTCAGCCGGTGCCCCAAGTCGGATGCGTGGCTTTGATCGCCTTTGCAGGAGTCTGAGAAGAATATAGGAAAGAAATACGTCTCTTGAGTCCAAGTAATGTGGCGTGGAATGCGCAGATGTATGTCTCGACCAGCATTGCAACGTTTTTCCCACAGTCGGCATTTCCGTAGGGTTATGTTTGCTAGGCCGGGCTCTGTCGACCATGGAGCTTGTCACCCTCAGCTTGGAGCACGGCCATTTTGGCTCAGGCTCATGCTGCAAAACGCAGTCGGCCATTGCACATAACTTTACCATGAATACCGCCATGTACCGAATCCTTTTCCTGGCATGGCTTTGCCAGGCGGAGATTGCTTCTTGCCCATCGCTGCTGCAAGTGAAGAAGGCTGCGTCTCCCTGGACTTTCTTAAGGCATTTAGTCTCCAGCTGGCTCAAGCCAGATCCCGAACCTGCGTTTGGGTGTCGCCAGAACTTGGGCGAGCCCGAGGCTGCGGCCATACTGGCGGACTATGCCCTTCAAGACGCGTCCCAGCAAACTGGTTCCACTGGTGGGCGCGGCATCTTCAGCATTGAGCGTTGGGACGGCATCGGGGAGAGGACGGGAAGCATCATCTATTTCCAGGCAGTCGCCAATAAAGTTGGCCTGCCGTTTGGTGGCGTGGTGAGCGTGCCAGTCTCTGACACTTCTGCCCTTGACAAGGCAAGAGAAGACAAAGTCATCGGGCACCTGTTGGGTGTGGACTACCAACAGCTGGTCCAAGGGGAGATGCCAGTCTTTGAGCAATGCTGCTGGCAGTGCAACAACCTCACCGCTCTGACGGATAGCACGCTAATGGCCTGCAATCACGAGATAGAAAGCATGCAATGGGAGGGCTTGCTGACGTCCGACTTCCTGTTTAAGTTGCGGAATAGCTCCGGCATCTTTTCGCAGCCTACGCCCCACTTCACAGGTGGGCCTCGCCGGCTTAAGGTCGCCTTTCACCTCCGCCGTGGCGACGTCACCGAGAGGCGGGCCGAAACGACACCGCTTGCCTACGCCCATCGTTATGTCCCTGACGAGACGTATTATGAGCTTGTAGACCAGGTGCGGTCAGTGCTGCCAGCGGATGCTGAGATCCAGACCTTCAGCAGCACGGGGAAGAGGTACGCTCCGAGCCAGTTCGGCGGCTTCCGGGCCAAGGGTTTGAATGTGCACCTGGACGGCGAGGAGCTGTCGGACATGGCGCACATGGCGCAGGCGGACGTGTTGATCATGGCGCCCTCCACCTTCAGCTGGGTGCCGGGCCTGCTGAACGCCCGCTGCGTGGTGAGCTTTCGGGGCTTCCTGCCGATGCTGCCCGAGTGGATTGGCCACGACCAGGCAGCTTTCTCCCTGGACGACATGGCCAAGCTCAGCCGATGCGTGGCAGAGCTGAGCAACTCCAACGTCGGAGCGTGATCTTGCTGTTCACTCGTCTTCCCAGAACGCGCGGGTACCTTGTAGCCTCTGCGCGTCAGTGTGTCAGCTGCTGCTGGATTCGAAAATTGAAAAAGCGCTGCGGATTGAATCTTGCTCGTGGTTTGCCAAGCCAACTCAAACGCCCGCACATTGCTTGACCCTTCCCTGCGATTTCCTGCCCTTGATTCATTTAGTATTGCCAATACTTAATCTTAGATTCCCAGTACTGAATCTTGTGCATTTAGTATTGCAAATACTTGATCTTAGGCTTCCCAATAGTTATCCTAGTCCTCAGATTCCCAAGCCTTCATATGCTATTGCCTAGCCTTCTGCCTGGGAAGGGCTTGGATGAAGCGCTGTGTGAAAGAAAAGGAATTTCACGCCTACCCACAACAAGCTCTTCAGGGACGGGGAAATAGTTAGACTCCAGAACCGTTTGCTGATGGACCATGTAAAGGTGCCAGACAGCAAAGCAGTCACAAGCTGTGCTTCATGGCCATGATCCCAGGCTGGGCCTTTCTGTTTGCCAAGAGCCACAGAATCCAGGCCGAGAGACGGGGGAACTGCGGCCGGGTGGGTGAGGGTGGTTGATGATGCCAGGGCGAGCAAGAGCAGCATCACAGCCGCCAATCAGCGTTAGAGGATGGAAATCAAGACGGGGTGGCACTGCTGAGCCCTCTTGGTTCAAGCAAACACGCGCGCTATCCTGTCGCCGTGTCGTGTCCTACCTTTTTGCACTGACTGTGACTATTGATGTTTGGATATCCATGCCTGGTATTTTGAAATGATGTTTGTGGCCATTTTGCCGCCTAAGTTAAGGCAAAGCAGGAGACATGTTGAATGCTCACTTAGATTCTTGACATTTCCTAACATACTCTTGCTACATTTGCATGTGCTCAGCTGCTTGCATGTGCTCACTGGACAGCCGGCAGGCCGCTTGCGCGTGGCAGAACCCGCGGCAGCATTGTCAGTGCAAAAAGTGCCGAGGGCGTGACATGGGGGTGAGTGGGTGGAAACAGAGCGTGGGTGCGGGGCTTGCACATGGCGCAGCTTCAAGGTGTAACACCATCCCCACCAACATGGAGCCAGAGTATCCTGGCGACCTTACGCTAGTGCGGGCCCCAGCCCGGGAATTGCTAAAATCCACTTGGGGTCACTTGCTGGCAGCTAAAATTGTAAAAGTCTGCCACATGGGCCACGTGGGTAATTCGTGTTCAGGTGACCCAAGCGACCAACGCCCGAGTGATCCAAGCGACCGAAGCGACCGAAGTGACCCAAGTGACCCAAATGCAAACAAGCCACCCAGGCGAAGCAACCCAAAAAGAACGATTATGTATGTCCTCGTCTGAGATACAAAGTCTCCGGCTGCGGCAGCAGATTAACTAAAGTGCTGAGCATGCCCAAGTCCTCCTCTGACTTACAGACTTTTCGGCTGTCATGCCGGGTGGCAGCAGTGTAAGAAGCCTGTATCCAGTGAATAGGGGGAAGAGGGCGTGTCCTTTCTTGAGCTGCAGGCGGTCCCCTGCAGATACAGTCCTAGCAGCTGCCGTTGGGGTCACTTGGGTCAGCTGGTTGAGAGACAAACCCCGCGGCCGCCCTATCAGCCTTGCGGACCGCAATTGCGGCAGATGAAGTTTGAAGACCTCGCCTGAAAATGGACTTTCCCATGCCAGATAAAGTTGCTTCTTCCCAGACACTAAATAAAGTCTCTGTGTAGATTGCAACTTGCAATCGCTTACTGTGTTCGAAACACAGACTTTCCGGTGGTCTACCAGCCTCCTTTGAGACGTTTTACCTGCACCACGCGCAGCAGCCTGATAATACAGATTGTATGGCTCGAAAAAACAAGTCTGTGTTCTTAAGTCTCTTTTGGCGACAGACGGCCTGGTGTGACAGCCTGGCGTCTCAAACGAACGGCTGTGACACAATCCTTTGACTTCAGCGCTGCCTGGCCGCGGCAGTTTCATCTGAGACTTGTGCGGCAGCATGCCTCGTTAGCAGTGAAGCGGACGTGCTCATGTCCGAGCAGCCGCCGGCAAGGGCTGGTTCTCACAGAGGATGTTGACACCGGGCCCAGATGCCCGCACGGACCTCAGCGCGGTTGCCTTCTTGCGACCTTTTGAAGAAACGCTGGCGCCGTTCCTGCATGATTTAAAAGATGCCTGTGGCCGAGAAGCTGTGGCAGGCGCTCGCTTACAGCGATAGCGCATCATCATCATCATCATCATCATCATCATCATCATCATCATCATCATCATCATCATCATCATCATCATCAGCATCATCAGCATCTCCATGGCGATAGCGCAAGCGCGCGCAGCAGCGCTAGCTGGAGTGGAGGTGCCGCCAAGACGTCGCACGCGCGCCAGGACACGCGCACACACACACACACCCACCCGAGGGCTGCTTCAGTTGATTGGCCCACCAAGTGTGGGGAGCTTCAGAGTTGCAACAGGAATGCCGTCGCCCCTTTTGTCTCTTGGCCCGACGCGCACGACAGTTGGGAGGCAGCAAGCAAACATCCGCGGTTCTGCGCGCAGACAGCTTGCTAACTCTGCCACTTCGTTGTGTTGTTTGCTTGTCCGAGGGCATCGTTGTCCGCGCGCGACAAGTTTTTGGCTGTGAGCCCTTGCGCAAGCGCTACATCTGAATCGCAGCATGTAAAGCGCAGTTGCCATCGCTTTCTGTTATTGTGCATGATGACGCTTGCCGCGCGCGCAAGTCCGGTCTGTGTCGCGCCGAGGACTGACAACTTTGGCTTGCTGATTTGATGTGTGCTTTTTGGTGTGTGTTGGATCTTGGGAGGCCGCGTTGGAGCTATGCCAGTCGCAGGGCGAGGGCCCCCCGATGATCCGCCTTGGACGCACTTGCAACACGCATCCTGCCCGACGCACCCCTATGGAGAGAGGCGATGTTGGCGCCCACGCAGCGTCGACAAAGGAGGGTTTCTTCGTAGCAGCCGGATGTCCAGCGCAGCCTCACGAGGACGCGCCCGCTGATTTTCAACCTGCGGAAGGACGAGCCCATGTTTTGCTACCGAGTCAGCATCCCAACACCCCGTCTTGTCTGCGACACATACTTTCCGGCTGTCACACCATTTCCGGCTGTCGCAGCAGGCAGCAGAAGTCAGAAAAAGGCCTGGCTGTCACACAAGAGAAGAGGTCTGCGTCAAGGTACGGACTTTCCGGTGGACGCGCGTGATAAAGTCTCTTTTTAGAAGAGAACTTGGGAACGCAGACTTGCCTTCTTCCACCACATTGCTTGCCCAACAAAGTACTTGGGTCGCTCATTGAGGCCACTGCTTAACAGAATTGAGCCAAGCGACCCAAGTGGACCGAAGCGACTCAAGTGGACCGAAGTGACCAAGCGACCCAAGCGACCCAAGCGACCCAAGCGACCCAAGCGACCAAGTGACCCAAGTGACCCAAGTAACGCAAGTGACGTCTGCCACTTGGCTGATCCAGCCACCCGAGACCAAGTGACCCAAGTGGCCCAAGTGGCATACGTTAGTTAGTGTACCCGAAATTATTGCCCACAGTGGCTGTCCTGCTGCCAATTTCTGAGCAAAATGCGCCATGCGCACGGCGCGTGAAGGTGCATTGGTGCATTAGGGCATACGGCCTCAATATTGTTTTCTCACTTGTAAGTTGAAAAACATGTGGGCCATGTGGTCGTTGCTAGCCAAGCGCCGGGGCAGGCAAGGTCTCCAAAGCAGCCCGGCCGACCGGCCGTGTGACAAGCGTCTCCATCTGTTTCCCCACGCGCCCGGCCCAGGAGAGCCGCATCTCCAACTTGGTTCGCTGGAACGCTGCCGTCATGGTCTCCGACGGTAATCGCCGAGCTGCGGGGGCCAGGGCCTTGGGACATCATGGGCTGCCTGGCTGGCTTCATTGCGAGACATATGTAGAAAATGACTTTGATGCTTTAGCTGTGATGAATGTTATCAGTGAGAGATTGAGTGAGATATACTTGTTGATAGGACCTTCTATCCAAAGGAGTCACTTTACAGTGGATGCTCCGCGCTTGTGAATCTAAGTCTTTGGTACAGTTGCTACTCGTGCTTTGGGGCTCAGGTTGGTGGTCATATTGGCACGTTCGCATCCATTTGCGACATCTTTGAGGCGCATTTGCGCGCTCCAGTCAGCCATGGAAGATCCAGAACATACCAATGTCGCCCAACAAAATCCCGAAGAGGACCATACCTCTCCTACTGGAAGGCAATGCTCCTTTTTGACAAATTTTGGGTAGATGGACTGGGGAATGCAAGGCAGCAATCTTTAAGGATGAGTAGAGCAGTGCTCTCGACTTGGTTGGCTTGCCCTGAGCACAACGACTTGCTGAACTGAGTGATTTCATCCCCCAGTCTATCCATCCACTTTACGGGCAGGTCTCCGAGTAGTGGATGTCACGCTGACTACCCGCCAGTCTCACTCCCATCGACAGGTGGGCCAGCACCACATTTTCCGTGGCAAAGGATATGGCCGCATGCTGAGAATTCATTGACCACCAGTGTCATGAAAACTTGATCGGGGCTCTCTTAAACCAGTTGGCTCAGCGGCCTCAGTTCGATGGTCGATTGTTCAGGCGTCAGTTGTTTGTGCCAAGGTGGCGGCATGGGCGACCAGATCTACATCCAGGTGCCAGTGAAAAGCCAGCAGATCTCCTTGGAGTTGAGGTGTGAACATTCATGGCCGTTGTTCAATTGATTGCGCTCATGAAACCGGAAGAGAACTCGTGACGGCGTGGAAGGATGCACACATGATCACTTGATTATACTATTAAAAGGCGAGGGAAAATGGAGACCACAGCAAGTCCGCCTATACTACCATGAAATATCCGAACACAGCTGGGGTGCGTGCCTCGCTTGCCGACATGTGGCCGAGCCAGGGCCACGCGGCGCCGGGCCCATACGCGCGCGCATACCTGGAGGGGAGGCTAAGTCTGGAGCAGATCATGCACTTCCGGCAGGAGGCCGGAACATGGCGGTGTGGGGCGAACGTCGTCGAGTGAGCGCCAGTAAGTTCTGCAGTGCCGTATTGACTACCCTCCCATCCAGAAACACCCCCCTCACAGAGAGGTTCCGAAAGACGATTTTCCTGAGAAAGGGACCCTCTGGTGGGTTCCGTGTTCGTGGACCAAAGACTGCTTTTCTTGTTTGGTCTAGGCTCGAGCAGCCCCACTCTATTGCATGGAACTTGTCAAGATTGGACCATGGAATCTCAGTGGGTGTTTGTTCAGAGGTCTTGACTCGGGCTGTAGACAATTGCCTCGGTGAAGTCTTCGCGTCACATTCCTGCCTCTCCCTTCCCCCCGCAGCATTTCTATATTGAAGGATTTTTACTTGTTAGAGCCTCGGATTAGTCCTACCATCTTCTTGACTCTCATTTCGCCTTTGCTGTGTGTGCCTAATAGTTCTGTTTGTTCATTGTGACGGCGTGAAGCTGCAGTGGCCTACCTCCCTTCCGCGGCCCAATCCTTCGTCAGGTGGGCGGCACTGGCCTGTCCAGCTATCCACACCCCCGGCTGATGCCCAGCCCTTGGCGGCGAGCAGGCAGGCTCGAGCCTGGTCAAGTTAAGGCACCTCAGGTCGCGTGAAAGCACGGCGAATCCGAGAACAAAAACAACAACAGCAGAACAGATGCGAACTCGCCGTCTTGCGACTCTCCGAGGCCGGACTTTTGGGAGAACCCCACCGTCTCCATGGGCCTCGGACCCTTGTCATCAGTGTGTCAGGCTGGAGAGCCTGCGCTACATGGATCTACGGGGTATTTGGGTGTAGAGGCCTTTCTGTCCACACACCCGCCTGAGCTGTTGAATGCGAGCACAAGCACGTAAATCACTTTGAGTTTGAAAACAGGAGCCCGCATTTGAAGGGAGTCTACATGGATCCTGACAGTTGGTAGTTGAGGGTCCCCATCAAGAATACCCATTCTTCATTGACGCCGGGCAGTTGGGAGCCGTCAGAGAGCTCGAGTTGTCAGGCGCGCTTCTTCCGCTACCTGCACTTACGTGGGCTTGCGGACACCTCTTCTAGCCGAGTTTGGCAGCGCGCCCAGGGCTTTGGCCACTGGGGCCTCAGCCAAGTTGTCCAAAAGGGAGAGCTGGCTGAAGCGCTCAGCGTGCTCGCCATGTGCAATCAAATAGCCCTTTGTGGCCGGATTCCAGTGCGATGCCCTACAACAAAACGGCTGGCAATGCTGATGTTGCACTAGTATAGGGGCTGTTTGCCGTCTTCCAGGTTTACGGAGAAGTTGAATGCACCTCCCATTGAGCGTCCAGCGGAGTTGTAGGCGTCATCCCAGGCTGGTTGCCAGATCTGAATGCTAGGATGTCACACCACAAAATACCCGGTACGTCCAGTGTATCCAGAATATTCTGCAAAGATTCATTTGTTTGATCCAAAGCACCTGCTGGGAAAGTAGGCTTTTGGGAGGTCCGCTTAGTCGGCTTGTCTTGGGCAGTTTCATTCGCCAAGCACGACCTTTGCAGAAGGGGCCAAATTTGGCGTATGCTAAACAGAGCGTTGCGATGATATGTCTTCGCTTGTGGGTGGCCCCTCTTGATTACCACACGCGCCTGCAAGTTTCACGAGGCTCGCAGTGACTGACGCACGTCTTATCTGAACACTGACGTGACTGCGTGTTAGGTGCTTCATCGGCGACGGTGAAATGGATGAGCCAGAGACCATCTATGTCGCTTGCTGAGTCGCCAGCAACAGTCAGCTCAGTGTTGTGCGTAAGGGTCTAGAATCTAGAACAAAGCCGAACGTTACCACAGGCCATCGCCAGAGCTGGCTACGAGAGGCGCGCTATGGTGTTTGGGGTTGATCGAACAGTCAGCTTTCGCAGGCATGAGCTACGTCAACATCATCAACCAAAGTAACACCCCAAACTGTTGTTTTCACTCAGATGTTTGTAGCTTGAGAAAGCCTGAACATATCTGACTCCCCGTGCAGGCTCAACAACCTTGTGATGGTTGTGAACTGCAACTACCAGCGCCTAGATGGCCCGGTGCGAGGCAACTCCAAGGCGATCTCTATCTCGGCCGCGAAGACTCCTCGCCCTTGCCTCCAATGTTTACGCGAGCAATCGTCAATACTTATGGTCATCCGCGACAAAAGGGGATGACATGGGGCACACTCACCAACAGACCATTCGGAAATCGAGGTTACTGATGTCGATGGGGGACGCAATGATGATTGACTGGCTCAGGTGAGTGCAAGACCCTGACAGAGAGTAGCATCGCCAAAGCCCACCTTTTCAGCAGCCATTGCAAGCCGGAAGGTGATCCAGGAGTTCGAGGGCATCTTCAGGGGTGCCGGGTGCGCGGGGAGGGGGGGGGAGAGACATTGCATCAGTCCGGCAAGTCTCCAAAGAGGAAGGCAATGCTTGCAACTGGAGGAGCGAATCTGGGAGTACTTAGCAATGAGACATGAGGCTCTGCCCATGCCAACAGATGCAGTTGTAGTGTGCTGGCCTTGGTGGCTGAGCGGCTTTGGCCAGAAGGCATGTCCAGAACAGGCAACGATCCACAACTGCCAATTGCACCATAACAGCCAGCCTCATTTCATTAGACTCTTTGGGAGACGCCCACTCACGACCGTCGTGGTGAAGTCAAGAATGGCAGGAAGAAGGTTGCTCGCAACTGCCATCCATGCTTTCGGACTCCGCGGAAGCTCAGCGTGGCCGAGCCTCTCGGAAAGCCTTGTAAGCCAGGTTTGACTGCATCAAACTCATTTGGGGGGATGCCTGGAACGATCTGGTGGACAACGACCACGATGGCAAACTCATCGAGGCTCACGGCGGTGTTTGGTGAAAGGGGGGGGGGAGGGTGAGTTGCAGTACATCGGAAATGCCTGACAGATTTGGCAAAATGATGCGTGCTTGCAAGAATGTGCGTTTGCCAGTTCATCAGCGTCAAGGGCTACCTTTTCAGGTTCTGGAACGCACACCAGATGGCGACTGCCAGCGATATGCAGCGAAGCAGGCGGGAAGGGAAGCAAGCATCTTGCGTCAAACGCAGACCTGCTTGAAACAAACATGTAGCCACACACACACAATGCAGCGTCTGGTCAGCGTCTGGTTCGCCATCGTCATCGTCTGTGTCGTCGTTGTCCTCATCCTATGTCCTCCTCCTCCTCCTCCTCCGCATCGGCATCACCATCACCATCACCATCACCGTCACCGTCACCATCACCATCACCATCACCATCACCATCACCTCACCATTACCATCATCAGTATCACCAGCACCAGCAGCCAGCAGCAGCAGCAACAGCAGCAGCATGGGGCACATTAGAAATTGCAATGGACAATATTTTGATGAAGGCCGGCGCGGCCGGAGAGAGAGCGAGAGAGAGAGAGAGAGAGAGAGAGCGAGTGAGAGAAAGAGAAAGAGAGAGGCAGGGACAAAGGGAAAGAGAGCCCGTTGTTTTCATTCATTGGGATCAAAGTGCTCTTAAGAACTTGAGAAGGAACGGACTAGAGATTAAGCAAGAGGGACACATTTGTACTGTAATCATAAATGCCAGAAGCCACGGACCTTGTAGAAGCTTTGACGGACAGCTAGATGTAGCGGCATCGGCGGACGCCTCAAGCGCTGGGTCCAGAGTCGCAAAACTGGAAAGAGGAACACATCAATGCCAGCTATGGGCGCGTAATGGGAAAGCTGCTTCGGTTCCCTCCGCGGAGATCAGTCAATGCGTCTTTGTGAAACCGAATGCCCCGCAAGCTTCCGCAAATCTTGGGCATTGCCCTGCATAAATTCCTGCAGGTCACCAGGAGGCTTCATTTACAAGCGGAGATTCCATTTCCCGCAGCGTAATCATGTTATGCAGACTTGTTGTTAGGTTGACTTGGGCTCCTTCAGGTGTTTTAAGGTATTGCCAAATTCGATGTTTTGAAAGCTGGCCTTGCCGAACGATCAGGTTTCAGTTGCACTTCTGGCAGTGGTGAGAGGGATTAGTCACAGCAAGCCCATGCATCTTTTGTGACATCTGGCCATGAATTTTAAGAGGTCAAATTCCTGCCCATGTTTCTATTGTCACTTTGGGGCCATGCCGACAGCTTGCATGCCATGCCATGATGCCAGTTACAAAGTCTCAACCGGGCAGGATGGTAGCCTCGTCCGGCGGGAGATCTTCGAGGCCGAACGCGCACGTCTGTCCCACGGACAACGTGCATGCCATGCAGGTTTGTTTGGCAACACGTGGGTGTGTCTGTTTTGAGGGGGGACCCCCGAATTGGTGGTTTTCCTCTTGGTGTCCCTTTAAAACCACCATGTTGGAGGGTCGCCGAAAAAGACACGCAAACACAAGCACAGACACACACACACACACACATCTTACAGTAAACGTGTGCTGGTTGCTTGCCCCTTGCGCCAATCTTTACCTTCCTGTCGCCCCCATTCTGACTTCTGCTGCTGTGTCCTGCAGTCGTTGTCCTTGCTTTAGACATGAACCTTACACTTTGGCTTGCGTCGCTGTGGCAAGGGGCTTGACTTGACAGATGAATCGTCCAGAGGCTACTCCGTTGCTTTGCGAGTTGGGACCGACGAAATGACTGGGCTTGAAGCATGCTGACAGGGAAAAAACGAAGAAAAAGAGGAAGCCTTGACCATGGTACTTGCCGCCCGAATGGCCTTGCTGAAGCAAGGGCAAGCGTGGCAATTGTCGGCCTGGACGAGCCACAGAACAGCAAGTTGCTTCAGGGCTCCTTGCAAAGCCCTGGAGGAAGTGGTCGCCGTGCTGGCAACAATCGTGTGCCCTCTCGCATATGCCAGATTACTCTTGGGATGTGGCTTATATTTGCTCGTAAGCATGGGTCGTATGAGAGAGTTCATGCTGATACCTTGAAACCTTTGCAGCTGCACAAAGATGGCCAGCTTGCAGCCTGCAGCATGTGGCAGCTTGCTCCTTGTAACTGATATTTCATGTCACCGCACCTGTCCTGTGAGCCGCATGATGACCATCCTCAGAGTGCGAACGAACTCAGCGCGCGCGCGCTGGGTTATGCTTATCACCTGAATCATCTGAGAGCTGCATTGAGAGACAGCGACACTTGCGGCATTGATTACTACTGAGATTCCTGGGTGGCACGCGAAAGGATGCAGAATTGCCCTTTGGCGAGTAGAGCAGACTTGAAGAGGCTGCTTAGCCCCCTTATATCAAACATCTATCGAGCGAAATACGGGAGCTAGCTTCCTGCCCACCTATACAGACAATGCTAGTGATATCACTGATACTGTTGATGCCAGCATGACTTTGAAGCCTGGCAGGAGAGGCCAACGTCTCTCGAGTGCGATTCCATGGAGAGATTTAGGAATCGGCTGACGGATGGATTCCATGGAGTGCGATTCCATGGAGAGATTTGACGGATGGGGGTATGTGAAGGTATGTACAGTATGCTTGTGTCTTGCGAAATGCTTGGCAATGCAGATGGCTTTTTGACTCACCGCACAATGGCGAGTGGTCGGGCTGCGGCTCATACCCGTGGACGGCGGCTTTTGGGCGTTTGGCCGTGCATACCCCAAAGGCTTTGGGCGTTTGGAAAATTGTATGCTCCTCGCATGGAGAATGTGGAGGGCACGGCGCCTATCATGACCTAGTGGTAAGCATTTTGTCCTGTGCTATGAAACCAGGGGCTTTCCACTGCACTTGATTGGAACAGGACCCGAGTTGCTTTGCTTGGAATGCCTTAGCATGCCTGCGGATGCCTTGAGCTGCAGTATGATTCCGTGGCATATTTTGGGATGAGGTCGCTTTCGGTTTTGGGAGCGAGATGGCCAGGCCAACGGACTGGGGGACCGTGTGGCTCACCTGTCAGACGACGAGCTGCTCAGCGCCTTCATGCTTCCAGGAGGCCGCCTACGGGTTGGTTTTAGTCCTTGCTTCCATGAAAATGCCGATTTTTGACCCACAGCCGCGTGTGTGTGTGTGTGTGTGTGTGAGACCTTGGATTGTTACTTGACTTCCGCTATTCCTTCAGCAGAGCGCCGCCAAAGCACTTTTTCTCCGCACAAATTTCAGTGGGACGCGTGGCCATCACTAACAATTCAGTATTTTGGAGCTCAAAGTTTCCTAGGAGAAACTCAAAGCTCCGAGCTCTCGGGGGGGGGGGGCGAATCGGGGGATCTTCGGATCCAGGCCACGACCACAAGAAGATCTACGCCGCCATGTCGCAGGCGGCTAAGAACGCGGAGGCGGGTGGGCGGCCCACCGTGATCTTGGCGGGGGCGCCAAGGAAACTTGCTTTGGGCGGCTGGAAGCCATGAGATGGAAGTATAGCCGCAGCTTGGCACATTTCGGGAGGCTTCAATCGGCCTATATGGCCATGGGTTGCATAACCTATGGCGAGCCATTTTGGGGTGGATGAACATCCATTTGCCACCTATTTTGATGTTTACCAGGGGTACAGGGTTTTGACCCACAGCCATATCCCGCGTGATTGAATTCCTTTGGAAAAGGCTGAAAGGCAGCGAGAATGCTTGGCTTAGACGGTGTGATTGGGGCAATGGCACGGGGTCATGAGCGTCAACCGAATCATGCGCCCTTTCGCGTGTGTACGTTTAGCTGAGGCTGTTTTCTGTTTCTAGCTCCCATCCTGACCGCTTGTTCATTTGAGTACCCTTGCTGCTACCACTTCTACCACTACTACCTACTCCTCCTACTACTACTGCTGCTGCTGCTGCTGCTGCTGCTGCTGCTACTGCTATTGCTACTGCTACTGCTACTCCTACTCCTACTACTCCTACTCCTACTTTTCCTCCTCCTACTACTTCTACTTCTACTTCTGCTGCTGCTACTACTACTGCTACTGCCACTATTGCTACTACAACTACTAGTGACTACTAATCCTAGTACTGCTACCTTTGCTCTGACTATTACTGGGACTGCTAAGACCGCTCAAAATCATGGCATGTTTTCCCTCCTCCTCAAGCTAGACAGGCACCAGACCCACCTTTGAGTTGCCAGCCGCGTGTGTTTGTGGCGCACCGGCGTGCCGAGTACATTTCTCACGAGAATACCAATTGTTCTGGTGGGTTTGTCTGCTCCTGCTGGGAGCAGTTGTGCTCTTCGAGCACACGCTTCAAGTATACAACACGCCATCAACGGCATTTTCCGGCTTGGCGACGAAGAGGGGGTGGGTGGTGGTC